TTAAAATGCAATCTGTTAACAAAAGCATGTCACCGATGCATGTGAATCCAATGCAAAATATGAGAAATTTCAATATAAAATGATGACAGCAATTATTGGGTGTGCATTTCTTGCTTTTCCAACCCAACCCAGCCTTGTCAACGCCCAACACAGACCATCATCCCCACAGACTGCCAGTGGATCAGACCTGATTTGGGAGGACAGCACCGTGGGGTTTGAGAAGATCTATCTCAGCTTCGTATTGTCAGTCACTGATTTCCCTGGAGCTGGCATTGCAGATGTCATCCTGGATTTCCTCTAGTGGAAACAGTCACGAACCACTGCGTACAGATATGCAATGCAGCTGCTAGCAGCGGGCATAGGGTTAAACTCTGCTAGTGTGGGTAAAAAAATAACCTCATTTTCCAGAGTGGTGCTGAAAACCTTTTTTTTGGGGTGTTCATGAGATGAGGTATTTTACTTTAGGAAACCTGAGTGTTTTTCCAGCCCCCTCCAGAATGAATTTGTCCCAGTGTCTTCCCTCACTAGGGAAAGGCACAGATGCCAGGACCCTTGTAAGGGCAGAGTGAGCACCAGGCACACAAACCCCAGAGCATGACCAAATGGTGACAGTTTCAGGGGAAGGACAGGGACAGGGATTGTGCTCCTGGATGCACAGCATGCTGCATCTAATCAACAAGAGGCTGGAGGGACATCCCTCTCTCTAGAGGTTCATGAGTGTATGCGAGTGTCTCTGGATTTCTTTCTTCCAAATCACCTGGAACGATTTGTGTCATCGCACAGGGGACAAATCGTTATTACTTAGGCTTTACTCAGTGGAGCAATACCGCACTCGAATGAAGTGTTTTTAAGCTTGTTGGCACTTGAGTAGGGTGGCACTTCAAGTCCTATTTCACAGGTGACATTGACTGCATGTAGTTCAAGTAGAGAATCAGCAAGTCATATTTCTTTTTTTGCTTTTCAGTGACGGACAATCTAAAAGTCTTTATTGGCACCTGGTTTCAACTTGAATCATTGTGGTTTAGGAAGGAAATCCTTTACAGAATTGTTGTAATTGAAGCATGGGGTTAGTAATGCCTTGAACTGACAGTGAGCCTTGACAGCTTCTTGTGTTCAGACCTCCTTCTTCCTCCGTGAGCAGTTTATCTCCTCTTGCTACTTCTAAAAACACGTTTTCCTCTCTTGCATAGCATCAAGCAGAGAAATACATTCAGGCTAATGAAAATGTAAGTTAATATAGAGAGGAACCTTATCACCTCTAAGTTGTTTTTCTTTTGAAGCTCTCACTCACTATGTCAGGATGCTCCTGTTCCCTCTCATTTTTCTTTTATTTCTCATCCTTTTGGAATGATTTCTTCCTAGCCAGGAATTACCTCTGGGGGAATGCGGAGCATGCAACTTGCCTTTTGGCTGACTGACAGGTTAGATTTGATTAGTTACTTGCCTTTTGACTGAAAATAAATAGCACACAATGACAGAGTGGGACTACAGACTGGTGTGGAGCAACACCAATTAAGAGTTAGTAAGGACCCTTCATCTAAGCAATATTCAACTGCATTAAAGACAGCATAGAAACTTCTGAAAAACAGCACAAAAATCAGTTATTGGATATATGTATCAAGAAAACAAAAACCTCCAATTAATATCCGGATAATTTTCTTTCTCTAGCAGAGACTTTTTCAGGCATTGCCAGTATTATTTTTATTATAATTACTGCAAATACTATGTAGTTTTTAGACTTGAGTGTGAATATGGGGATGGGTATGATTTTGGATATGTTACATATTTTTAAAAGAGAAAAATTCAAATACACAATCCTGTTCCATTAATCTCACCTGTCAGGTAGGAACATCACCAGCAAAGAAATTTCAATACAGAAAACGTATGTTTTGCACCTCTTTCTAAAAGTAGCTTAATTGCACTGCATTATTGTCATTTGCTCCATGAATAAAGTGTAAATATGGAGAAAAACAAACAGATAATACTGGTAACCTGACAGTAGCAATACCCTTAATAATTCTCTGAAGCTGCACCGGCCAGTGCAGAGCTCGTGCGTATGCTCATTGCAAAACTAATGCTAATGTGAGCATATGCTGTAGGAAACGGTGCCCTTACTGCACAGCACTGTTATCCCCAGGGTGCAGATCGCTCCTGCTATGGAGCAGCAATAATTGGCTCCTAGTATGCATTATCAAGCAAGGGATGATAGACACAGAAAGATGCAGATCATTCATCTGGCTGCTGGCTCTCTCCCCAAATCCCCGTTTTCTCACACGCATGCAGAGATCCAGTAAACAGTACACAGTTTGGTATTATTGGTATTATTTGGTATTTGTTTGCATTCAGACACTTGCTTGAGCTCCCCTCTGCATGTGGTCCGTGTTTCAAGAGTTTGCTGCTATCTGCCTCATAAAGGAATTTTGTGGTTGCCATTGTTGTTGCATACATCCTGAATTTTATCCTGGGCTGTTGCATAAACAGCATCTCTGAAGTCCCAGTCCACTGCTAATATGTTTTCCTTCTCACTGTCTACAAAGAGCCCTCTCTTCCACTCTGCCAGCCTAGGGGAGAGAAGAAATACTGTACAAAATACCTTCTGTGCCTTAGGTGTGGCGTTTTCTTGTACATGCCCAGGAGCCCGGCAAGCCCGGCTTTTGCTCAAAATGTGGAATTCCCATAATGAAACACAGTTGCAAAACAGACCTTAGTGCTGCATTGGACCCAAAGCTGGCTGTGGGATGCCCTGCCATTTCAGCTGCTAGAGGAAGTCATTGTATCTGGTCCTTTTAATGAAGACTGGGCATGTGTTTGATTTGGAAGATTGTTTGGTCCCATTCTGACTTGTGTGTCTGCATACACCTGTGAGGAAATTTGCAGAAACATACTTAGTGACCATGATTTCTTGCATGCGCATCACAACAGAGCTCTAAGAAATACTTTAGTTCATACTTTTAAATGAGACTTAAAGTCTCAGATCTCTTGCCTTTCTTTATGCGCTGGGGCAATATATTTGGGTTTGGTTTACTCTATACTCAGTATAGTCACATGACAGGAGATGAAGAAATGTTAACTAAGAGCTATGGCATGATGTTTTGCTGAACTTTGCAGAAGTGTTGGAAATCATAAAATAGTTTCCATGATGCACATGGTGGGGACTACAACCAAAACCTCACACTGGTAATGTCATCCCGGGCTATCGCTACCAGGTGAGGCAGGGCTCCAGCTTTACTAATGCCTCTGAAAGTCCAAGCAGATGGAAAAAGCGACACAGCTGTCCTGCAAGCAGAGGAAGGGAGTGCCCTAAAAGTCCTAGGAGCATCAGGTGGCCATAGTTTTGCATTTCTGGACAACATACATTGGTGTAAATAGAGCTGTTCTGAATAAGCAGGAAGGAAAGTAGAACCCAGAGAAGTTTCGCGTACTCCTGTTTGTACTCTGTCCGTTTGCAGATGGGTTTTACCTCAAGGATCCACTGTATATGAAAAATTTAATATTAGATGTGTTACTTTTGTTGTTCTTCCTTGTCAGTGTAACTGGCCTAGTAGCCAAGAAAAAAACGATATGTTTTGACTTTCCTTTTGGATCATTCCGTTATGGTCCTTCCTGACATTTTCATAAGCAAGTGAAGCATGATCCATTAGAGAGGGCACACAGCTGGCTGAAAAACCACACATCAAGTATCTTTCAATGTTTTACTGTTGAACCAATAGGCTATTTAAAGGACTTCATATGGATCTATCTTGGGCCCATTAATGTTACTTATTTTAATTACTATATTAGAGAAAGGTTAAAGAACACGTATGAAGAGTGTGTATGAGTCTAGACAGATATTGGAAGAATTTTGGCTGCAAGAAATCAGACTTCAAAGGCAACCCTGGCAAATACTGAAAGGTTTTGAAATCTCTGAGATAAAACAAAGTTGTGAAATACTACACTTAGAAAAGAGAGAAGAAATGAGGAATTTGAAAATAAAGGATAACTAGCACTGCTGGCATGACAGCTCTGTAAAAGAAAAACAACCCAATTGCATTGTAGTTCTAGCTGATTTTTAGAAAACAAAACGGCAAATCTTTCCCCATGGTACATTAACTGGTCTGTTAGCTGTGGGTCATTAATGGAGAATAATTATTCTTTAGACAAAACTGGTGAGACCTCAACTATAAAATCTGTATGTGCAGCTACAGGCCTATCACTTCCTGAAAGATGGAGACAGACTGAGACCAGAGGAGACAGAGAAAACAGTATGTTGTTCAGAAAGTAAATTGTTAGAGTACAGGTGGTGTGAAGGTACTGGGCTTCTTACTTTGAAGAGAAAAAAAGAGAATAATAAAGATTTAAAAAAAAAAAAAAAAGGAAAAAGTAATCCATTTAATCCATTTTAGCTTGTCTGGACAATGAGGGAAATAAAAAGAAAGAACAACTTAATTGGCAGCAAAACGCAATGCAGCATACCAAGAAATGTTGTAGGGTCTCCTTTTTTGGAGGTGTTTGACAGAGGCCTGGGGCAGAGAGCTTACTTGTCTCTCCTTTTGTTTCCAGAGAGGATTTCTGGGCACCCATTCAAGCTCTAAATTTCTATCAGCAGCATATAACAGTACTGTCATTTGCTGTTGGCTACTGGATCATGTGACTATTAATTTCACAGGGAGTCAGCTCTGCAACCATTTCTTCTGTTCTCCACTGAGACAGGTACACTTTCTCAGGAAGAGTGATGTGCTTAGCTTTGCGATATGCTTACTTTTACTCATGTCCTTCACTGAATCCCTGTGACAGTGCTTTTTATCACCAATCAAGCCATTTCGGTTTAGGAACTTTTCTTTTGCTATGCACAGAAAAAATCCCTACAAATTATTATATGGATTTAAAAGAGTGCAGAAAGAAGAACACAAGAAGAAAGCAGAATGGGACTTCTGATACGATTAGTCATGCATAGAGATATGCATAGACATATATAAATAAGCATACTACATTATTTATTGTTGTCTTTTTTATGTTCACAGGGCTACAGCTACTCATAGGGGCCAAGTTATATTCAAGGATGCCTTAGCACAACAGCTGTGTGAACAGGGAGGTAAGAGCCACCATCGTACTAAAAATATCTGGCAAATGTGATTTTCCATTGTACTTGCATGTCAGTGTTACTCATCATGAAAGTTATTTCCTGGAAAACTTAATATCAGGATCTAATTTATATTCTTAAAACAGATACTTTCTTTGGCTTCATACTTCCCCTTAGTTATCTGGGAAACCCCTCTCTCCTCTCTGCTAAATATTGGGTAATACACAGAAGTTAAAGTAAATCCTATTTCATTACACACTTACCTGAAATCAGCCTGTAACAACCAACATTATTTTTTTGCCAAAAGCACAAGCTGTGTTTTAACTCTCACTGTATAACCTACAAGCAAAAAACGCAATATGCCTGCAGCAAAAGCATTGTTTACCATCCAGCTCACACATATCTTTGTGAAGAACTTGCCTTCACATTTTGTGAAAGCAGACCATCAAATTTTTGCCTGTCACCTATAACATTTGATCATATTTATTGCTAAACAAAATGTTTGACTTACACAAACTTTAAAAATCTAATTGTTTGCACGGCTTATCATACACATCCTTTTGATGAATAACCTAAAAATAAATGTCCTGTTGCCAGCTGTTGTCTACAAACAGCATGCTGCTTTGAACTTGCTTCATTAAAACAACGAGAAATAGAGAAGGTGTTTTTGGTACAGAAGAGAAAGGAATTTCCGTGCTGATCCAGTTTTCTCTGCAAAATTCCAGTAATATTTCCGTGTGAAAAGAGACAGTGAAACATGGGTCAACCAGTCTAAAATAAATATTTAAAAATTAGAAATATCATATTAACAAACAAGAGAAACCCCCCCCAAAGTACATCTTTTGGGGACATTAGAGCTATAGGGTTTTTCCTATGAGTTTGTGAGTATCTATGCAATGGCTTTTGCAATAAGAAGCTGTTGAACATTACGTCAGGAACATATATTGAGTTACTCCTATAAGGTAAAAATAGTACCTCCGTGAAAATGAGGGACAAGTGTTTCTGTTTTAAATGTTAGTATCTGAGTTTTCAGTATTTTTGTATTTCAATGGGAAGAAGGAAAGGGGATTCAGAGAGGTGACTGAAGATGTTAGCCACCAAGTCAGGAAGTTAGTTATATTTTGAATTAATTAGAAAAATATAACACAGGTGCTGGCAATCAGAAGGGAGTGTTATAAGGATCTGATTGGAAGGTGATTGGGCCAGGAGTGTAACAGTATTTTTACTGTGTGGAAGGAAAAAACATCTGGAGAAGTTACTAAAATACATTTAGTATTCAGAACAGGAGATAAATTGTACCCCCACAATGTGGAAAAGTAGTGTTTCAGTAACTAGCATAAGGGGATATAGAAACAGAAGTGTTGGCAGGATCAGCATTTGGGATGTGCTAAGGAAGATGGTGAGGGTATCTCACCTGGGCTACTCACTGGATGGACACAAATCAAGAGTAGAAAAATTAATATGCAGAGTCATCAGCATAAAATAATGAAAAGCCTCACAAGCAGATGAAATTCTCCAAAGCAGGGCTGCATATTGAGTGCACCACAGCCAAAGGCAGTCTGTGGTGGCCAGAACAGGTAAGGAAAGAAGAAAGCAGTAAAAGACATATTGATGGCAGAGTGACAGAGAGCCAGAGAGCTGGCAGTGACCAGCATGATGAAAGCTACGTGCAAGAAAGTTGAAAGCAAATATATGACTATCAGTGTCAGAACTGGCAGCGTGCTCAAGGAGAATATGGTCAAAGCAACAAGATTTCTCCCTGCTAGAAGAAAATATCTTCTTAAGCAGAGACTAGTGAGTAGAAATATATCCGTATAGGCTTTGACAATCCTTTCTTCAGACATGCTGTACCAGGAGATTTTAGTAGGAGAGCTGACAGCAGAAACTGTAATTATTTCACCCTTCTCTGCTTTACATTTCTCCAATTTTGAAGCATAACTTAACCTCACATCAACATGTTAGCAATACTTATGTTGGTTAGAACAATAAGTCATTACAGTACTGCGTGTTGTCCCTGAATTCACAGGGACTCTGCAGAACAAGGAGAAAATGGTATTTGTGTATTGGTTGTGTGTAGAGAATAAAAGATGCTGAGATGTGCCGTCCTTGGGCCTTCACTCGCTGTTCAGCTGTGACATTCCCTTTGCCTCCTACTCCTGCCCAGGCACTGGTAGCCATGTCCTGCACCCAGAGATACTGCTGTATAAGCAGTTGACAGTGTATGACAGCCATGTAATCAGACATCAAATTTCCCTGCAAAACCAATGTGCAAGCTTCTCAGAGGTTGTCTTGGTCCTTCTCCCACTTTATCCTCACTAATTTCCTACCTCGGCCACAGTTTTCTTGACTCAGATAGTGAACCACCCGATTGCCCATTCTCCTCCCTCCCATCCATTCCCACACCAAGCTCTCCTCTGCCTTTTTGTTCTTATTTCTTCAGCAAACAACATGCATTGCATTAGTCCCCCTGACCAGTGCGTACTATTATAACTCTTATACTATTAGGATTAATTTTCCTATTCAAATAAAATATACTTTCTTTGAAGCAAATCTCGCTTCTTTTGTTCCATTAAAACAATCACACTTTCATCAATACTGTTAATGTGAACAAAGGATTCTTTCAGAAAGAATTGGTGAATTTATTTAGATGCAAATATCATATTAAGATACATGGAAACAGCAAAGTATCTTGACTTAAATGAGGTTTTATGGTCTGTTTCTGGCCCTAAACATTACTACACTGAAATGCTGTAGTGAATGATGTGACACATTAAGTAAAGAAAACAGAACTAGAGGGCAACTTCATAGATTTATTACAAGACCTCTTTTTAATAAGTATGTTCACTGGAGATGGCACCAGACTACATAATAGCTAGTAAAAAGGATATACATGAAGATGTGAAAGTAGCAAGGAATCTCAGAAATCATGTTCACTGTGGCTGTCCACCCTCAGATGTGCATTAGTAAATCCTAATATAGTCAATGCGATTTGTGCAGCGAAAGGAAAGTGTAGTTCTTATTTTGAAGAGAATGAGAGGATGATAAAGGGTAACATTAAGGGATGGCAATGCCAAACAAGCAGCCCTATGTATAATGTAAATGGAATAAGGAATGATGCCATAGGCAAAGGCACCAAAGAAAGTAAAATAATAGTTTGAAAAGCTGTGTGTTCAGCATACAATAAATATTTTAGGAAGCTAGAGAGATCTTTGACAACTGATATAATCTTTGAAGTTTGTAAGATTTTTATAGGATATTGAAGAAAGGAGACAAAAATTATCAGACAAAATAGTTAATCCAGCAAAAATAGGCAAAAACCCAAAAACTGTATAAGCCAAGACAGAAGAGATAGATATCTCATAAATACTTTTAAAGACAAATAAGGATGTTAATGACTGATTATATTCTTGCCTTTAATAATATCTTTAATTAACAATATCTTTATCTTATTGATCTAATAGTAAAATAAACAGAAAATAAGGTAACTTATTATTGTGCAGATTAATTCATATTTACTCTTGGCCTCAGTAGAACAAAAATCATACATTAATAAACAGGAGCACAATTAAGATTTGGCAAAACACCAGACCTGGCTGCATTGCACTGTAGAACTCCAAAGAGTTCAGGTCTGTATGAAAACAGCGATGCTGCTGAGAGGAACAGCTCGCAGTGCGGGGATGGATGCAGCTGACACTTGTGCCACACAACCCCACCTGCCTTTACTGCATCAAGTGGGGTGCTAAAAGCTTAAGGAGGCCATTTCCCACTATGTAACTTTGGACCAGTAGCACTGTTCTTTGGAATAAGGCCTACACTGGGAGATTTGTGTGTGTGTACTTTAGTTCTGGCTGACTAGAGGAGAATCTTAGAACAGTAAAACCTAAGAGATGGAAAAGATGAAGAATTTTGCTCCCTCCTAGTGCAAAATCATTCCTTTCAACATAGGTTCCAGAATTGTATACAATCTCATACTCAACGCCACAAATTATAGGATTGGGAGTCCTTTCTTAAGAAACCACTCTACAGTCTGACAGATATCTCCATATGAAAGTAAATCCTGGGAATTGGCCCAGCCTCTCTTTCATTTGATAGCTTTTACCTGAATGTTTGTGGAAGACCTTTTAAGTCTGTTTTGTACCTTGTAAAATTTAAGAACGCTCTGTAAAACAAATGCAAAACAGATTACAGGCTCTCAGGCTTGACCAGAGCAGTATTTTACGGAACAGAAGACTGGAGTTCAGAGCTGACGTATTGTTCCTTGGCTTATGTGTCAGCAAGAATAATGCATCCCTCGGGCAACACACTGACTCTCTCTAAGGGGACGTTCAGCCTCTATCATTCAATAGCAACTTTGTTTACCAGTAGAGAGAAAGTATTGGCAGGAGTCTAAATAAAAGTATTAATTTCCTTTTTCGTCTTCATCTGGCTACTAATGACAAGGAGATTAGACTTTTTCATAATCTGAAAAATAGGATATACCTCTCTCCACATCTTGTTTGTGATGAATTGACAAGCAACAGCTAATAGCTGCTGGCGTTAAATTCTGAGCACGGTGTTTGTCTGGGAGAATTCGAGCCTTTGGGTTTCTGTAATTCACTTTATATTTAAAAAATAATTCAAGGTTCTGAGAAAAAAGAGAAAAAAATCTATTTTCCAGTGGGGTTTAAGAATATTTTCTTATGCTGTATTCCCTACCTACCCCTGTATGCAGGCTTGACCCTACGGATCTATGGAATGTGAGTGTCAACAGTACAAACTGGTGTTGCTGGAACATGTGTTTAATTTGCATTATGTTAGCTGTTTTTCTCTGAATGGAGACTAGTTTTGCTTAACAGTTAACCATTGCCATGTTTAACGATTTTGGTTCTTGTTTTTCCACTGACATTAGGACTATCACCAAATCTTTTTTCCCTCCTCATATTCCAGCTTCTCTATCTGAAGATGACATTCCCTTCCCACTTCTCTCATATTTCCATTCCAGTTTAACCAAAACAGGGCATATTTTTCTATTGGCTTAACCTTTCAGTAGCTTTACTTCATCCATAGAAAATCTTAGCCTTTTACTCTAAAAGACGCCTTCATGATCCCCCATCCCATTGACACAGAGCCCCACAATCACCCCATTGACTTTTGAATTCCCCATTACTTTCCTCAAGATTCTCACGCTTCCAGTTTGACTGCAGCCTTTCTCTCTCTGAATCACTTTGTATTGTCTACTTTCTTCTGTGCCTTTCCTTACCAAAGGGATTGGCTTGTCTTACAAGGCAAGCATCCTACATATCCTTACATTTTCTCATATTGTATTTGCTCATGCCTCTTAAATTGTGAACTCTGTTGAGTTCCATTTCCATTCTTCGCTTAGTACAATTCGTCTCTTGTAAAGCTCTGTGTACACCCAGGGTTGTAGTTAAAAATCAATAATAAATTACTTTACTTTTTAAAAAAGACACAACATTCTCATTCAAGCTAAGATGCATTTTGGAGCCATGCAAATACATATTCTAAATTTCAAGCCACCCAACCATGTGCCTAAGGAATGTCTAAGAAAGTGAATCATGGTTTAAAATATGAAATAAGATGGCCTTTTTTTTCCCTCTCAGACTGAAGTATTGTGAAATTCTTTTCAAATTGTAAATGTTTTATATCTTTGTGCTCTATAGCTACTCTGCAACGTATCATTTTCTTCAGCATTATCATGTTATGCAAGGAAACTCCGTTTGACTATAGCCACACTATGGCCTACTGTACAATCCATATTATTTTAAAGTAAGTAGTTCCCTAAATTGAAAAAAAGGCAGATCTGAAAATATTTTAAAACCTGTTTTAAATTGGTTTTGTGTGATATTCTGAATTTCTGTTATTTTGGGGACCCTAACTACGACACTTGAAGATCAACACAGTGCTCTTTTACAATGAAATATAAAATGTAATACAGAAATTATTCATAGAGAGATTGAAGTCTAGGTTTATCACTCATTAAATGGTGCTTCACAGTCTGTTGTCATATTCAGCTCTGGAATTTGAATTGCAAAACAGATGAAGGAATACCTGAGGCAAAAATGCTTGGGTTTCTCAGATCTTGTAAAGATTTGGGAAGCATAACCCCTCCTCAACATAAAGTCTTTGTAAGAACAACGTTTTTTCTGACAGTAAGTGTTTGTTTGATTCCAACTTTAGTTTTTTAAATGAGTCATCAGTAGCACTAGTACGAATTTGCACAGTTTTCTTCATTTCAGTCTATTGGTAAGCAGTTTGGGTTTGCAATATACTGTGCATATGATTGAAGAGCTGTTTTAGAAAAAATTCTCATATCTCAATTTTGTATTCTTTAATGACATAAACAGCAAGTTATATTAAAAAAAAAAGCTGAAGTCACAGGAGTTTGCAAATGTAAAGATATCAAGTTTGTGCAATACGTGTACCTCTTGGCTAAATGCTGAAAGTTTGCATAATAACTTCAGAAAGTATCGTTAGTGACTGTGTATCCTGGTCTGGACTGCCTTCCACACAAAGCCCCATCCAAAGAGCCATGCGAAGTGACCCAGGAAAAATTACAATCTAGTCTTTCATTTTCATTTTGAGATCTGCACTGCTGTCGTTGGAGAGGAAGGTCTCTTTCAATTGAGTCTCTTTCAGTTACCTCAAAGGCTGATTAAATTTGCTTGGCCGGCTAATGAGTCTGCCCATGATGTGGTCTGACACAACCACCCTCCTCATAGATGAATGCCAGCAGAGTGGCTCTCAGCCGTACCTGTGTTTGCAATGGATCATCCCTTAGTAATGATCTGGAACTAAGGAAAAGGGCTAATACACAGCATCAGAGACAGAGGACTTATTTTAATCTTAATCTCTTACAACATCAGGAGTATTTCAGATCCCATGCCAGAATATACTCCTTTTCCTGCAGGCAAAATCCAGAACAGCTTGCATTGCTCAACCTGGAAATAATTCAGTTAAACCAGCTTAATCCATTTATTCTGTGCAAACAGTTTTAAAAAGTTTTCTAGAGAAATTTTTACATGCCTCCATGGAGAAAAACAATGACTGGGACTGCAAGGGACAAATGCAATCTTTTCCTGTGTAGTATCTACCAGTGCAGCCCAGTGTTATCCTGGGGATAGTGCCAGGCTTAATGGGCAGTTGGAGTTGTATTGCTCCAGACTTCGTACCATCATGGTGAGAGATCTTGGCCTTTGCTAGAGTCATTATTGGCATTTCTGCTGGGGAAGACAAGACGACATGGATAAGTTTCTTGTATAAAAAATGGAGCAAATTAGCTGCATAAAGAAAAAAAGATTTCATATTTCTGCATGTCTGCAATTTCTATTCAGCATCAGATTCTTAAGAATGCCTTTGCTCTTCACTGCAGTTAAGCTTTCAGTGGTTCTGTGGTTGTTTTCAGCATTTTCTATATATAAGGTTACTGGAGTAAAAGCTGTCGATCTTCCAATTTGTCAGTCAAATGAAAGGTTTCTATCTAAGCTAAATCTGGACTGCCTGCCATCCTTTTCTAGTCTGCAGATACCTCAGTTGTTTCTTGTTCAATCTTCTTAATCACCAACTTCCCCGTGAAATGCTGCAATTTCATTACAGAATGTCACACCTCCATGCAAACCCAGTGTTTAAGGAGAAAGCAGGCAGAGAAAAACAAAATTCTTGAGATCTGTGTTGGACTTTCTATTCAGATGACTATGTGTGAGGGCTCTACACAGATTGCTGCATTCATTTTTATGTTCATTTTTAATCTATTTTTAATTTGTCAGATGTTATAACAGAAATTGCAATACTTCAGTAATTTTTTGCAAATATGCTGAAGAAATCAGGAGAACTGACACAATTTAGGTCAGCGCGCAACAAGAAACACAGAATCATCAAAAGAATCCCAGCTTCGAAAACTCTCTCTTTTTTTGGTGTTCTGTTTACCAATGTACAAAATACAGCTAGAAATATAGCTGCATGGGTGAGGTACTGAGAGGCAAAAGAGGTAGTTGGTCTCCAGGAGCTTGCTTAAACACGCCCTCTTTGCCTCCGTGAAAGAGGCATAACTTTGGATTTAAGATCAACCAAGGCTATGGATGTAGTAGCTACCACGGAGTATCTAGCACACTGTGTAGCCACCTTCTAGGCTTCCCCAAATTTTTATGTAGCTGTGCCCTTTCAGATAGGTTCTGTTTTCATTTGTGTCATGTTACCGTGAGACTCCTGTTGCAAAGTGTTAGGAGAATAGTACTTAATAAAGTTTTGTCATTTCATACACATGCCCCCCATGCAGTGTGTCATTACAATATTCTACTTTTTCTTGGAAGACAAAGACCTACTGGGGAATTGATCCAGCAGTGTGTGTAAAAATGTGCTTTAAAATTAGTGTTTGATACAGTGACTTGCGGAGTCAATCTGTTACTTGTTGCCCTAGGAATACTAGGATTTTTTCTCCCAACAATATACACAGTGAAATGTTGTCCAGTGCAGTATAAATGGTCAAAGGGTGGTATTTTTGTCTCACCTAGACTATTTCTTTTATTCAGCCTAATTCGTATTCTCTTAATCAATCATTGAATTACTGAATCTTAATCCAAAAAATTTCTAATATCTCATAATCCTAGACTAGAAATGATCTTTCTTACCTTTCTGTACAACCATTTCTGTCTCTCATTTGTTACTGATTTTTTTTTAATTAGAGAATATTTTTTTTCTTTCCTATTACATTTTTATATCTTTCAGTGTGTATCAAATTTTTCATAATTAAACTGTTGGGATAGTTGACTTAAGAGAACATGTACTGTACAATTTGTTTTATGCTGAATTGATTTTTAATGGTGCAATTAAGCCCTGATCATAGACCGTATTTATGCATTGTGTATCCTTGTTCTCTGCAGCCCCGACAGAAGCTCCCTTACATCCTCACCTAGGTAGGTGATTTGTCATTCTTATTACTAAAACTCAGAATCACTAACTTTACTATAATAAACGATCTGTAAGGTCATATGAAACTAGCTCTGGGGAAATCAAATAAAAATGGGACTCATATAAAATGAATTTCATTATGTCTAATTCTGATTAGTTGTTTTTTCATTGTGATTTTTATTGCTGTTTTTATATTGCCTTTTAGCCCTTGCAGTGTGAGTATATCATGCTGCAGAGCTTTTCTTCCTAGCTATGTGTTAGAGCATCTGCTTGTATGAGGACCAGGGCTGGAGCACCTCCCCTATGAGGACAGGCTGAGAGAGTTGGGGTTGTTCAGCCTGGAGAAGAGAAGGCTCTGGGGAGACCTTATAGCAGCCTTCCAGTACTTAAAGGGGGCCTGCAGGAAAGGTGGGGAGGGGCTCTTGACCAGGGAGGGTAGTGATAGAACAAGGGGTGATGGCTTCAAACTGAAAAAGGGGCAGATTTAGATTAGATATTAGGAAGAAGTTCTTCACTGTGAGGGTGGTGAGACACTGGCACAGGCTGCCCAGAGAAGCTGTGGCTGCCCCCTCCCTGGCAGTGTTCAAGGCCAGGTTGGATGGGACTTGGAGCAACCTGGTCTAGTGGGAGGTGTCCCTGCCCGTGGCAGGGGGGTTGGAACTACATGATCTTCAAGATTCCTTCCAACCCAAACCATTCTATGATTCTATGACCTGTAACCCCCAGCATGGGACAGCACCATCACACCAGTACTGGGTCAGTGAGATGAAGGTTTTGTCCCAGTGCACCTCCAAGGTGCACCCAGGAGCAGGGCACTGCTTCTCCTGCTCTTCAAGCAGGGCATGGCACATGCAGCAGAACTCCAGCCCTGCACCCACCAATCCATGTGTTGTGATTTAATCAGTCCAGGAAAGATTCTGGCATCCTTGCTCAGCTTGAGTAGCAAGTGACAATTACTTCGTTCATTTAATGGAAGTATTTGTATAGAATGGTCTTTCTGATACAAATACAGGTGCCAAAATTTTGGGATTTGGGGATTTTTTTGTTCATCATACTTAAATGATACAGTAAATCAGAAAATTGGAGTCCAAAGCTTGCAGACCAATGATTAGAAATATTTGCATAACATAACTCACAGATTATATTCCTTAAATGAGCTGACCTTTACTGCCAGCTCCACTGACAGCAGAGAAATTCCAATGAGATCATGGATTTTTGCTTATGAGTCGTCAGAATGAATCCCCTGACTATTAGAAGTGCAGTACATCTCATCCCTCCTTGTGCCAGTGTTTCCAAAAACTGGATTTGGAGGGATTTTTTTCTTAACATTCAGAACAACCAACAATTTGGAACTAAAGTTCTTAAAACAGTTAGTATGTACTTGATCACTGACCTTTCCATAGTCATCACATTCTGGCGGTAGATTGGGACATTTCTTAATTTTTTGTGGTACTATGATCCAGAGTAAGCAAAAAACCCCTGTAACTGAGAAAACCCTGCTTTTGTACCTAGCATACTTAAAAAAGCCGATTTCCTCATTTTGCAATGCATTACTTCAGCTTTATGTAAGGCAACACTTAGAAAACACTGGATTATTACACTGAATTTTTTTCATATAGTGCTTTATTTTCTTTGTAGCTGAAATGCACAGTGACAGCATTATCCTACGAGATGACTTTGACTCTTACCATCAGCAAGAATTGAATCCTACCATGTGGTGAGTTTCACACTTCTGCTTTCCTCTATACACATTTAAGCAAATTGAAACATTTCAGTTATTATAGTGAAGTATTTGTATTGTATTTATTCCTAGATACCTCAGCTCACATTGGTGTAAGCTTATGTGTGTCTTTGCTCCATTGGGACCTAAATATATTAGTTTATTAATTAATTGATTAATGAGTGACTGAGAAATTGTTAGCCTATCAAATTGAGTGACAAATTCTCATTGACTTCTAATTTTGAATTAATCCAAAAATAGAAAAGAGTAGAGCTGAGTTCAGTGAATGTTTTTGTATGAAGATGTCATTCATATTATCACAGTCTGCCTTTGAAACAGCAAGTACAGGTGTTATCATTCTTTAACCAGTAGATGTTGTTGGAGGATCTTAGGACTCCACAGGCATAATAAGGCAAGTACAGTTTAGGACAGGTGTGGCAGAAGTTTTATTAACTGTGACCACAGTGAGACAGCACTCAGACAGTGTCTCCCCCTCTGCTCCCCCATTCGCTGCCATGTAACTGCAGAAACCCAGTCTATACAGCGTTACAGAAAACAAGGAAAGAGGCGAGGAAAAACAACAAGTTCAATTTTAATAAAGCCAAGTGTCCATCCCTGGGAGGGATGGACTCCTTAAGTCACTGCCATAGTGCTCAAGACTCCAACAGTAAATAACAGGACAATATGGAGAGATGGCTGTTCGTGGAGCCTATAGGAGGGGCACACCCAGTGTTATCTTAGCTCAGAAGTGGGTAGTTGGAAACAATTGCAGACTGTTAGCTTTTAGAAAAAATGAATGTTCTTTTAGTAAAGATAACTCTTAGCCAGACCTCTCAATTTTAAATATTAATAACTTCACCACCACAATGATTGCAGTGATAAAGTACCATAGATAGATAACCATAGAATCATAGAACAGTTTGGGTTGGAAGGGACCTCAAAGATCATCTAGTTTCAACCTCCTGCCATGGCAGAAGCACCTTCCACTATACCAGGTTGCTCAAGGATTCATCCAACCTGGTCTTGAACACCTCCAGGGATGGAGCATCCACAACTTCCTTAGGCAGCCTGTTCCAGTGTCCCACCACCCTCTGGGAGAAGAACTTCTAAGCCTGCCCTCTCCCAGATTCCAACCATCACCCCTCGGCCCTTGTAAAAAGTGCCTCCCCAGCCTTCTTGTAGGCCCCCTTCAGGTACTGGAAGGCCGCTATAAGGTCTCCCCGGAGCCTTCTCTTCTCCAGGCTGAACAAGCCCAACTCTCTCAGCCTGTCGTTAGAAAGGTGTTCCAACCCTCTGACCATCTTCGTAGCCCTCCTCTGGACTCACTCCAACAGCTCCATGTCTTTCTTGTGTTGGGACAAATATATACAAATAAGCGCATGTACGTCACAAAAGAGGAAGTTACAGGTTTCTCACAGTACTAAACTGATTCTATTCTGTGTAGTGATTATATGTAGTGGCCACACTATACACAGATAAACACGTCTATCAATCTTAACATGAAGTTTTGAAGGCTGGAGTCTCCTTCCTTTATGAGATTGTTACTGAGTTTTCTATCCCTTCCAATCCTATTTAATAAATATAACTAATTTTACTGATTTAATTCATACAAGATACAGAAATATTGTTATTGGACATTAATAATTCTTGATGGGCATTTTAGCAGTTACCTGCATTTCGTATTTAGAAATACATATGTTCTGTGAAATCTGACCTTGTTTTCCTTTTTGTTAAGGCCTGTCAGTTTTCCATCTGTGCAGGTCTTTCAGTTTCACAATCTTATGTAAAAAGATTGTGGTTTATGGAATTTTATGGATATTTTTCTTTTGCTCATACTTACTGTAATACTTTTTAATATGTGTCTACTATTTTTCCACCTTTTGTTCCTTTTGTATCATCTTTTCAAAAGTATTTCTGGACAGATGCATTAAGGACCTGGAATACTATAATATAAAAAAGGCCTCTTTCTCTTTGGGAATGAATAGATCAAGGAGTCTTAATGGCTTACAGAATAGCTGCCAAGGTAGATAGCTTTAGCAGCGGTGTGTTAAATGGACTTGAGTGGAAAGAAATGAGAGGAGGCATTATTTCCCTGCAGATGTCTCATAACTCACAGAGGGCCTGTCTGTTGGGAGCCTCTGTAATTTATTTATCCATTGCTCTCTTATCTTTAAATTCATCCTTGCTTTATAGATGTCTCAACAGAGAAATTTCAGACTAAAAGAGCCCCCAGTCTCCTACTCCTTTTGTCTCCAAGATTTGGATTTGGTCCCCCTGGAATAACCTTGACCCATCTTGGTTGGTGGGTCAGTGCAGAGAGGTGTGTGCTGAAAGAGAGTCTCAAAACTCACCACAATCCTGAGGCAGATTTTCCTGTAATGACACCAGAAAACCAACATCTTCAGCAATGCTAAATAGAAGTGGAGCACAAACAAAAGAAAACTGTAATGAGGTGTCATGAGCTTTTCTGCATAAAGGATTTCTGCAGCTGATCTGCCTCCAGTGAAGACCCACTTAGTGGCAGAAAGCTCATTCTCATTTGATTGTCTGGTGGGAGTCAAATCAGGCATTATTAACAGTTTATGCCATCCACTTTAAAATTGCATTTTTTCCCCTGGCACTGCTAAAATCCCATCTTTACCACAAACAGTTGCAGTAACTGCTAGAGCAGTATTTCCAGCCCTGCTCGGTCCCTGGTCTGCTGTGCTCGGAGTGTGCGGTAGCAGCTGCATTGTGTGCACCGATACTCCAGCAGTGCCGTGTCACCAGGGGCCAGTTAGTCTAAGCCACTCTAATAATTTCTGAAACCGTTATTTGTGTAAAGATGAAAAGAGAAGTGTTTGTATTTTCCTATGATCTTTTTCCCCAAATCCTACATAACGCTGGCTTGGATGTGATTAATATTGTCCCACTCCTCCTGATCCCCTTTCTGGCATGTGCAGCTTTGGCAGAGACGTACAGTCCAAGTGCACAAGCAAAGCGTTTTATAGCTTCTGTGTGTGTCTAATTTTATGAGTCCCAGCAGAGCCGGTGTGTTACTCCATCACTGGGAGAGGCCTCACATCAATTAACTATTTTGAACAAGGGCACTGTATGATTTTGAGACTGCCTGTTTTTTATGGATTTCTGCTCTTTCAAACGTATTAAAAGACGCATCCTACCCAGAAACCATCTGTTTCTTCGGAGGCTCAGGAGTAGGGATGGAGTGGCTACAAATGTTTCTGGAGCTGCAAGGGGAGGAGAAAGGGAAGGTTGGGATGGGGCTCTTTGTAAACAGAAAAATCACAGCATCTGGGAACAGATTCCTGACCTAAATCACAGTTTGATGATTGAAAGAAAACAAGAGAAACTGCTAAAATGGGAAAGGACAAGGAGAGTAGGAGGCAGCAGGAGAGAACATGTAAGGAGAAGGAAGCTGGGAATGCAGGAATGGGAGCACATCTCATTTCATTTTCTTCGGACTCAACCACAATGCAGATTTTCTTGTGTGGTGTGTCCAACTAATTTTTATATTCTTTTCTTCCAGCGTGCAGTCATGTCGGGATATGATTATTTCCAAAGGTCTCAACCTGTAGGCACAAGCATGCTTACTGAAGCAAAGATTTCCTCATTTCTTGGGTCTCATTTGCCAGTAATTTCACAAAGATGTCTTTGGCCTGTGAAACAAATGTGCTTCATACATTCATAAATGTCCTATGTATTTTACGTCTAACATGTATCAGCTGTGGAAATTAAGGTAGGCAAGTGACTCCCACTCCATGCTAAGCAGTTCACAGCTGACTTGCGGATCTAATCAGAAAATAACTTTCAGTGCATTTTTCAATGCACTGTGACTGGTGGTCCGTGAGACTTGCTGAAAACTATCATCAGGAGTGTGTTAGTTCAGAAAGCTCAGAAATCATGGAAGTAATAGATTTCCTCTGTAGAGAAAGGGAATCTGCACCATATACTTCTTGCTAGGGAAGGGCCAGGGAATGGCTGGATGAGAATAGGCCAAATGTGGGTGTTGTCTGGAAGACTGTCTAGGTCATTGAGCATCTGTTTCTGTGACCATCTTGCCTCTCTGTAACCTCATAAAATTGCGGAGGAGAGTATAAAAAGGGTGCTATATCAGAACTAAAACAGGCCAAACAAGAACAAATATAGAAAAATATTCTGTTTAATGATATGATAAATGATCTAATGTTGAGAAAAAAAGGGGGGGAAAAGAAGATGCATAAATTAGCAAAGAAGAGGTGCTGGCAATAATGTTTGTTTCTGTATAAATAGGGTTGTAGACAACAGGGGATTTACTACATTTAAGAAAAGAAAGACTGTACAGGAGCTTGTTGCTGGCTAAACTCTCCTTCCCAACTTGATGTCATGTTTCATCTTAAAGGCTATCAGCACTCCAAACAGCAATCACTTACAGAAGATGTACTCTTTAAAGATGACATGAAGAAAAGCTGAGCATGTAAAAGCAATCAATAACAAACAAGTTCCATCACTTTTTCATAGCATCTGTGAAATGAAGAGGTACAGTGATATTTCCAGTAGCAAAGAGGTGGAGGAAAGCTTTGTGACAGGAGAAAGAAGTCCTAAAGTGGTTTCCAAATTGCACTAAAACTGTGGGATTAAACTTCAGAAAGATTTATGATTAAAAATCTCTTGGCAGCTTGAGATGTTTATCTTCTTTATAGTCCAGACATCACAAAAGACATCAGTCAATATAATGTCCACAAATTCAGGTACTGTAGAAGGAAATGAAATGACAAATAGGGATGAGGAAACAGCAGATGTTTCCCCTTTGGCAAAGTGAAAAACAATAGCAGAGAGAGGTGGAACCCTCTAAGCCAGAGATGAGAGCAATGACAAGTCTGCAGAGACGACATCTAGATGAATATGGCACATGTCAACAGTGGCAGAGAGTACCAGCTGTGAAGGGAAAGCTGAAGTGATTTTAACATGCTAAGATTTTAGACCAGGCAGATATCTCTTTAGACCAGAAAGATATCGTGAAAAGCTGCACCCAGGCAGAACAATTAATACTGTCTCCTGTTTGTATAAATGTAAAAGATATTAACCTACCAGTCTGCACCAGGAGAGGAGCAAACTGGGTTGTTTCTAAACACATAATTCTATGATGATGATCTGAGGAACAGCAGATCAATTATCTCACTCTTTGTGCATTCCTGTCAAGCTAGTGAGCAATTTATTGTCAGAGGTAACGCATTTCAAAGAGATCACAAAGATATGAATCAAGATTACCAACAGCCATCCAATTTCTTATGAGAGTGCCATCCTAGAAAAAGCCAAATGATGAAATAACAACAGTATCAAAGTGCTTCTGGATTTCCAGGCAGTATTTCATAGACCACATTACAGAAGTAGAATAGATGAACAGCTGAATCACTTCGTATTCATTGAAATACGAGAATTACGAAATTAAAATATCCCTTGGATCATGTAGCCTGACCTTTCACAAGGAACTAAGTAGTCCCTACATAGTATTCATAGGCTTAGTTTTCCTGCCATACCTGTCTCTCACTGTACATATCAAGAATTCAGGAAGATGCTCCACTATAAAACTCCAAAATATAGGGGCAGATAATGAAAATAATGCTCATAAACCTCCAGAATCCTACAGAATTCCAGGTGTTATTCTAGTTCCTGTCCCTCTGTTCTTCAGTTGTTGGAGTTTAGAGATCAAGTGAAATTTAGAGAGTGACAAAACACATCCTCCATGAACTCTGTTTCTGTACTTTCTCTTAAAGTACAATTTGTTCACTCACACGCTCTCTTGCCTTATATTGAGAAATAAAATCATGGGCTGACTGTGTCTAAGTAAATATTGACTGATTGAAGGCAGTAGGAACTACATTACTTTATTAGAGGATTTAATTTTACTGCTTAAATTCAAAACCCTAAATGCTGTTAGTGTGACTCGCTGAATGACTTTATTGACATTCTCACACAGGAAAAAACTCAAGGACTTTTTATGTGTGACTTTGATTCGTGAAATGAAGCTGAAACTGACCTTTAATAAAACCTCAGAATAAGGGAGAGGTTTGGAAAGTGGGAACAAGGCATTCATCTTTGACTTCTGTAATGGACTTGGACATAAGAAAGCCAGTCCTGTGCTGAATTCACCCAGAACCAACTGAAGAGACCCAAAATAACAAGTGCAATCAATTATTCACGACATCTATGCATCTGAAAACCTAACATCTATCGCTCAGCCGAGCTTAGCACTCACAGACCTGCGGAGTATTGTGCAGGGTATTGTACGCTGCCCACAGTTAACCCATTCTGCCAAAAGTTACCCTTGCTTTGCTGCCCTGGGAAGCCAGGGGAGTGGTGAGGAGCCCCAGTCTGCTGTGGGAGCAGACCAGAAGGTAACTCCATTTAGTTAAACGCATACTTTAAAAATTAATTTAAACATTATTTCTAATCACTACCTGGGTTTGAAGAAGCCCATCCTCCCTCGTTCAGACCTTTTGGACGCATGGCCCCTGCAGGGAAAAGCTGTCCCAGCCTTGTGGGGTACCTGACAATGCTACCAGCCTCTTCCTTGCAATGCGGCTGGAGATTTCATTTGCTCTGTCCAGGACCATGGTGGGCTGATGCTTTTCAGATACTTGGGAATCCTGCTCCAAGCAGTTTACAGAAAGACTTGCAGGAGTTTAACACAACACTTATTGACGAAAAGACAAACAAGCAATGTAAATTAGGTGAAAAATACCCAAGGAAATTTGTATAGGAATCAACTATACATTGATGGTAAGTATCAGTTATCTATGAACGGCTACGATCATTGAAAAATTTAACATATATGTTGACAGCAAGTCCCTATCTCCTTGGGATTTCTTCCTTTCCTTCCAATTTCCTGCCATCCAGAAATTAACTGGAGAATGAAGACAGAAGAAAACCAAACCTTTGCACGCTACTAAACTATATCTGGGCTGTGTATATGGGAATGTGTATTTTAGTGACATCACACATCAGAAAGAGTGGCCAAGTCTAAGGCACTCCGTGTGAGACAAGCCAAAGAAAAAACTGCCTAAATACCCCTTACGTAAGTCCATTTCACTTAAAACTCTAAAAATACCAGTTATCAAAGTACAGACAAAAATCAGCAAGAAATAAGAAGGTTTGGAGTGAGTTCACCATTGCTTACAATGGAGTTGCTCTGGGAGCAAATGTTTTCCTGCAGGTTTGATGTTAAAGCTGAGCTTTGGATGCATGAAGGCAATGTTAGTCAGCCCCAACGCAGGCAGTTTGTCAGGGGCTGGGAGTACCTCCAAAATTTTTGAAAAATCTGCTGCTCATGCCA